TCAGTGGCAATGGTTATGTAACGGTAGATCAATTCTAGTAGCTGCGTGTACCATTCCATAGAGGATCATAATTAGTTACTAGACTGCAGTCGTCATCTCCAAAATGAATACGAATATGTCATGTACGGTCGTCTACAACATTTGCTTATACGGTCCTCAAGATGAATGGGTCATGCTAAAGCAACGCCTTCTGAATGTGAATTTAGGTCAGTGATTGGCCAGTCCAAGGTGCCTGTAAAAATTAGTAAGCTAGCATACAAATGCGAACTCCCTACAGGGGCCCAAAGTAGCGCATTTTGTTCAAGCATTATTCGTTAGTTAAGCTAACTGTTTCCTCGTGCCAGTTCCTTACGCCTTTTCATAAAATATAAGGAGGTGAGTAATTGAGCCTAAACTGTGAGAGAGTCTGCTTTTTATTTGATTGTTATACCTTGAGTTTTATTCCGACGGGTACCAGCATTCCAGCGTTCAGCCGGAAGACCCAAAGCCAGGCGGACTGTCCGTATTTGTTCCTGCAGCAACCGACAGCAATAAGCAGAAGAGCACAAACGCTGTAATCAAGTGCAGACGTCAGAAATAAAGCCAAACGCTGAACCTTAGTCATAATATCAATTACTGCATGCAGTACGTAGCCCTCACTCTTAAACTACAAATGACTCTGCCTCCAACTCCATTCCAGCAAAACCGAGTGCTGATTTTAGGGGGCTGAAATGACGGCGAATGAATCTGTGTCAGTGATCGCGTCTCTTGCCCCCAACTACCTCCATAAGTTCTAATCAGGGCTTCACAACAGTCATGCCCTATGCGTTGACCCGGCTGGATTGGATATGCACGTCCCTTGCTCATGCTCTTCAGCCGGGCGGTGTTTCCATCCGATAGTTCAGTTTAAGTTACATTAAACATAGTAAATTATACTTTGCAGCCTGTGAGAAATTGTTATTTTCGATCCAGAGATGACGAAAAGCTGCTTGTATAGCGAATAGTCAGTAAAATCTTAAAGAACCCAATTGGAAATAAACTGCATTTTTGTTGAAGTTCGTCGCTCCACATCGGCAATCTTGTTTAGTTCAGCCGCCCTATCTTCAGTCGTCTGACATGCGCTCGAATTGTTTGCAACTTCGTGCTTGATGCCAACTAAAGTTGTCAAATGTTGGTGCGGTCAGCCCGAAATTGTTTACTTGATTGTTTGTGTAGGCAAAAGTAGCAAAAAGAATACCCTTTTCTAGGGAACGTTATCTGCGCGCGTCAATTAATGTTACCGAACGTCGATCCGCCAGTGGGTATAAAAGGGAGGGCAGATTAGATGGCCGCATCGTCAAACCAAACAGGACATCAGAAGCGGTCAAAATGAAAATATTCCTAACAATTTTGCTTTTCGGCGTGCTGGTGCAGATGACCCTGGCTAAGACTGCGAGGAAGGAGGAACCAGAGGAGGATCTGTCGAATGGGAAGGTCATCACAAAGGAGGACGAGGGAGCAGTGTCTCCAGCCTGCGGTGGCGGTTGGTGGGGTGGCTGTCATCACCACCACGGATGTTGCTGGCGTCGCTGCTGCCACCATCATCACCACTGTTGCCACCACCATCATGGCTGGGGCTGGGGTTGGGGTTGGTAAACACGCACAGTGCGTCATTTCCTGTTAGCTAATAAAGAGGTTGTCCCTTACTTGTGCCTTGTCTGCTTGAACTGCAGGTCAAATCTGTGATGTCAGAGAACTGTTTGGATTCACATCAAATGATTAGTTTTGAGCTGGAGTTCTTGTGGGAGTGCGGACTAGGAAGGGCGAAATTTAACTAACTACCAAACCGTCCCTCTTTCAGAATCCAAGCAGCATGTAACGTGGCAATGCTTTGAATTGTAGCGATGGGGGAAGCATAACGCACTCAGTTATGCTGTAGTAACCATGGTCTTGCTGATAAGGTGAACCCCAAATCACCGAGTGTTGGGCGGTCGAACTGTCAGTGGTATAGCTAGGCTATGGTAATAAATCGACGATAGGGACACATAAGTTTCGAAATTCGTGGTCGCTTTTAGTGTCTCTTAGTCGCGGGCAGGAGAAGTTACTTAGGAAACTTGAAAGTCCCCAGGGCCCTGTCAAGGTATTTGTGCCCAATTGTATGGGGACCTCCATCTCTCTTCCGGGTCTGTTTATCCACCTGTCCCATGTGCTGTGACTTTTGACCAACTACCCCGTCTCCTGGGAATGCGTTGACGCTTCGGCGATATGTGGGTCTGTCCAGACCACCTGCGACCTTTCCAGTGGATGATGTACTTTATTTCCCGGATGTTCTGAACGAGAGCCTTCAATTAAGGCGTTTACGTTTTGCGGAAGTGGCTGTCCTTTGCTGTTTTTAAGGAACCGGATTCAGGAGAAAAACCAGTTTTTTCATGCAAACTGGAGATAGAAGACTGCTTTCTTGTTCTCGATGTGGGAGTTGACAGGTATCATATTAGAGGCCCTAGGAACTGAGCTCTGAAAGGCGTGCCTGAATGCCAAATGCCTGTTTTCTTGACACGGACCGTTAGCTGGCAGAGAACATACATAAGCAGAACTGTTGTTAAGAGCAAAATTGTGATAAGCTAATCCTATGTGAATGAAAGTATTCAGTTCTGTTGGAGCCCAAAGCAACGCCCAAGGTGCCCTGATTCCGAGGGAAATCGGCTTGGTCGCAGCTCTGTGGTCGTGCAGGTTCGCTGATCATTTTATGGCGTTGGTGTCTCCACTTTAAATCCGCCCGCTGGAGCGTGCTGCCTTCTCTCATGCAGGATTGTATCGTACACCCTTGAGTTTCCCATGATACAGATATCCGTCAATCTATCATGGTATTCAAGGATGCGCATATTAGGCCCAGTGTACTTAACAGACAATTAACTGTGAGCCCTGTTGGGTGACAACACAACATCGTATGCATTTGTCTTTTAAAACACACACACACACAATAAAATCAGGTAATTTGCAAAAGCTTCGAAATTTCCCACGCAATACAAAAAGTCTTCCTATCGTGTAATTTCTCGAGGGAAGACATGTAAATGAATGGCCTCTAAAAGCGTTTTAAATAGTGCATCTGTACACGGAAAATGTGAAAGTCTGGTCTATGTCCTACCATGCTACCACCCTAGCTTGGGCAAAAACGAGAAAGGACCGGTACTTAACCCGAAGAGAATGGCCTAAACGTCCTCTAATTTATGGTAAGTGTCGAATCTCACGTGACACTGGTCCATAATTTTTGACAGGCTTTAAAATGGAAGATAATGCTCGGATGAGGTCGCAAAAAAGGATTGAGGGGAGGCTGGCAGTTGCATTGCATGATTAGCGAGGTTTGCATTCAAACCCCTTGTCGGAACAAAAATCAGCTGAATGGTAGTCAACTAACAGCGGGCAGACTGCAGAGGACACTTAACCCAGCGGCCTTGTGATGGGAAACAGAACGCCGATAGTCCTGCAGGCGGTCGCATGTACTTCTGAGAATTCTGGAGCTGGCTTAGCTGGCATCAGTCCTAGCCAATGCACCCAGACGCATAGGCAGATCCGTCATATCCTGAACATGCGTCCTCTTTTAACACAACGAATGACGGAGGTGTCCGATCTTAGCAGTCTGTTTACATCTTTATTATTACTGGGCTGCATGCTGAACGCACACACTGCCTTGGCAGACGCAAGTTGTCCCTATGTCAATGGACACTGCTCAGTCCAAAAGCTGGTCACCGCTAAGATGATGCAAGTCGGCGATTCACCGAGCGACAGTCAGGCAAAAGGAAGTAGTCCTCAGACTCGACGGTCCCCTCCGGTGGTCAGTTACGTGGTCCTACCACTAAAGAGGTGGAAATGCACCTGCGGATTAAGGTCCTTTTGTCCCACAAGAAGAAATATCTTCGGGTAATGAAGTGAAGCTATTGGCAAGAACTACAAGCGTAGGGGCCACGGAACACAAAAACTGCCGAGGATGATTGCAAACCTCTGCTATTACACAGGGTAGACTCGCCCGCAGTCAGCAAGTCTACTGCCTAAACAATGACGACCTAACCGATTGAAAATATAATTTCGGCTAAATTTTCCTCTACAAAATGCTGGAGACGACTCCGCGCATAGTCTGTTATAACTGTAGTTTCCATCGGAAGGCCACGAAATGAACGCATAAGGGTCTATATCGGATCAAACCGGGCGCAACCACCTTCGTCTAACCCTCAACGCTGGCAGCTGGAGAGCACAGAACCTTTAAGAAGGAGTCAACAGTACATTTGGATCCACTTCTCACAGCCCGCAGGATGTCTGTGGTTAAGAAATAATCACTACACAGATGAAATGCTTTGCCGGATTAAGGGAAAAAAAGACGAAAAGTAGAATAGTATTACTTTATTTGTTAGCAGGAAATAGCGGAATTTGGGTGTTTACCAACCCCAACCCCAACCATGATGGTGGTGGCAACAGTGGTGGTGGTGATGATGGCAGCAGCGACGCCAACAACATCCGTGGTGGTGGTGATGACAGCCACAGCCACCCCACCAACCGCCGCCACAGGCTGGAGACACTGCACCCTCGTCCTCCACCTTCGCACTCACCTCCCTCTCTGGTTCCTCCTCATCCTTCTTAACCGTTTTCGCCAAGGTCATCTGCGCCAGGACTGCCAACACCAGCAATGTGAGAAGCAGTTTCATTGTCTTAGGTTGAGATGCTGTAGAATAGCTACGACTCAACCACACGCACCACTACCCTTCCTTTTATAGCTGGATCAGGGAGGAAGAATGTATGGGTTTGTTTGACACTGCGCTACAGGAATGCCTTTTGTTACTTGGTAGTAAGCGAACATGCGAGTAAACAAGGCGAGTGTTGCTGTTGTTGCTGTTGGCTGAGCTGATTTTGGCGTATGGTAGATGATTGGAGTAGGGAGAATGCTGGATGGCTTGTTTTTAGGATTAAGCATGTTGATGTTTACTGCTGGTATTGTGGACGGAGGGTTTGTTTTCATTGTGGTGTCCAAGTCTTACCGTTGCATCATTTCGGCTACTGACACTCCGGCTATTTTTTATTACGCTGAAGGAAGACGGACGGCGTGGTCATTTCTGGCTTACTTCCCGTCATCAGTCAGCTTTAAGGTTTAGAAAGACCTGTGACTCCAATGCACGTTCTTTCGATTTTTATTATTCCTACGCGCTTACCACTAATCAGTGGACTGACTACTCGTGCTGTCACCTTCGATCGGCTATGTCAGATGAATTTTGAATGGAGTCTCAAATCAGAAGCGGAGGCATACATATGTCCCATAAGTCCCACTCAGCTATCGATACGACACTGAGTCCATGGCTGAGGATAGTTTAATGGTCACATCAGATCCCTCGACTTTACACTGACGAGGGCACTCTGCGCAATCAACACGCACATGGATGTGACATAGACGAGTCCATCTGGGCCCGATTATGCAGGTACGACCTAGGTGGCAACGAGCACCTATAGGCAGTACATTGACAGTTACATCCAAAAACCTCGATGTGCCTCGTGGGTAGTTTCGCGTCGTCCCATCTCGGCACGCAGATCTCACCTTTGGCACCATGACGTGGTGCCCGGCACGGCACCACTACCCCTGTAACCATCCACCAAATGCGGCTAAATCGAGTGAAAATGTCAGACAAGTGTGTGTGCCCCGCACAAACTGGCCACGTGGTAGATCCGCTGCACCATCACGGGGTAAATATCGGATTCTCTCAGTTATTATCAGATTGCGCATCATAACATTTCGTGGGTGCGATGGCAGACCCGATTGCCAGCAGTCGCCGCGCACGGTGGGACCCCTGCCTCCTCCTCGCTTTTTTGTTGGAGAAAAACCTGGCCATTTGCTGTGTGGACCAGGGGGTTTGGATTGGAACGCCAAGGTGCGTGCTCGACAGTGCCACCAACCTTCGCCCTCTCCCTAATCCGGTCTTCTTGACTACGTCTTGATACCGGGTCCATATGGGGAGCTAGGAAGGACGAGTGCGCTTGATGCCGCACAAGTCCACTATTACTATGGACTAATTTACGCACATGTCACCGTGCCTGCTGTCCCTTGCTATGTAGCCCACGGTGGACATCGTTGGAATCGACGGTCAAACTCTCGTGTGTATTCGCGTCCCCAAAACGGTCAACGTGGTAGATGCGCTGGACCAACAAGGGGACCACATCGGATCGGTGTTATCGGAATGCGCACCATAACAAATGTCAACATTTCGGGGGTGCGGTGGCAGACCCGTCTGCCAGCGGACGCAGCGTACAGTGGGACCATGCGTCCCTCCCCATTGTTGCTGCCGGTTAATATCCTGGTCATTTGCTGTGTGAATCAGGGGGAGTGGAGTGGAAAGCCAAGGTGCGGGCTCGACCGTGCTATCCACCAGCGTCCCCTTTCGCCCCCGATCTTCTTGACTCTGCCTTAACACTGGACCCAGTTGGGTGAGCAGAGAGTGCGGTAGATGCCGTGCAAGTCTACATTCACTATAAACGAATTCAAGCACAAGTCATTGTCCCTGCTCCATCTTGTTGTGAAGCACACGGTGGACAACGTCGGCAACGAGGGCCGAACTGTTGTGTGTGTGTGTGTGTGTGTGTGTGTCTCCACAGTGCTCCACAGCGGAGTGCTCTGGGTAAGAGTATGGTTTTTTCCCGGGTTAGGTCAAATAGAACACAACACTGCTTACTGCGTTTACTTAAGTAGGCGTTGTTCGATCACGTTTTCTCCCGTATACCAACTAGGCTTGGCCTGCGTGGTTCACCGGCCTGTGCTATTGCCCATGTAGACAACCGCCTTGAGAACCAGACGCTTCAGAAATGTCTATACAGACTCATTATCGTGCTTCCCAACCCGGATTTGGTAGACGTCAAGCGAAAGTCTGTCCGCGATCAACGAGGTTACAAAGACTGAGCATTTCGAGATTACCTCCTGCAGTTTGTTCAGGCGATGGTTTGCGGTTTGCCGCTATTACAAGCTATTGCAACTATTTTTCACTTATAGATACAGAAGTTTATATCAACATGGAAAGACTGCCTTTAAGTGCTTAACATTCAGGGTGGAAATTTTTTTGATTCCGAAATCCTCTTTATTTTCCATGAATTATTTCCATTGCACATACCTATATCTCTGGTAGGGGGCATTCACCGATCGTTCCTACGGAACTCACTCGTCCCGTTGTGCATTGCGGGCTCTTTCTCGAGCCCAACCAGCAGCTACACAGCGACGCATGATATAGGCAGAATGACATTACCGACAAAGACAAGGGGAATGGAATGTCCATTTCTGAATTATTAGCCGCAGTCAGCCAGTCATATCCAACCGCGGAGTGTGGAACACCTGAGGCTCGAATTCGCAACCTGTTAGTGAGAAGTCCACGCCTCTAACCACTGGACTACGAGCCGTTTCCCTGTCGGTTTTCGATCGGGAATATGCAATGGTAGGGGCCGTTCACCGATCGTTCTTACAAAACTCACTCGTTCGGTTGGGTATGACTGGCTGACGACGGCTAGCAAGGGCACGTTAAAAACTTCCAAGACTGTAACATGACTTATATGAAGACGGCATCCACGGTTTCAGTCGTCGGCATTACTGGTATTCACTTCCTTAACCCCCATCTTTCCTTTTCTGCAGCTTTATAGTGTACGCTGTCACCAGGAAAATAAATATGGTGGGCACATTTTATTGGTAGGTAGCCAGCCGTCGGTTGGTCTGCTGTAGCGCAAGCATATGTTCATTTTAGACGCACTATTTGAATTATCTCTTCCAAAGTCGGTAACCAAACGCAAACGTCCACTCAACGCGCGTAAGTAGTAAGCGTGTATACACGAAGTTTAGAGGAAGGAAGTACATTCAAACGATGAAAACATTATGCTGCGAAGAGTATATTTTTTTGGAAGAAAGATAGCAGGTAGCGTTAGGTTTACCGCATGAGGACACTTTAAAACAGGACGGCGTAATTTTTTTTAAAAAACGAGAACGTCATCATATACCGCGCCTCGGTGTTAGCATCTCCACTTTACACAATGCCAGCCTAGCACCGGCGACTTCTGCTAGTTGGCAGATCTACCGGTGTGCTCTAGTTGACCATGAAGCAGGGTTGGGCAGAAGAATACAGACTTCACGTATTACGGGCAGACTTGCCCCAAAATTTAAGGGAAGACTAAAATCTAGATTAGAGCTAGTGCCGGTAATCTGCTTAGTAGAGGTCAATTTTTGAGTATAACTAGGACGGTAAGGGAACGGTATTTGAAGGTTAGGACTAGGGCAAGTGTTGTTTAGATACTAAAGTTTGGACACGGGAAGAAGAACCTTTCGAGAATTTATCGCGAGGGGGAATCATATTTCCGAACCCATTGGCAAACATATCCAACGTTAGGCAACTAAAGTTTCATTGCGTGAGTGAAAATGGGGTTTAAGAGTGTTTACCTGTTCCTCCACTGCATCAGAGGCATAAACAGCATCTACAGTTGCGGTTATGGCAACCATGATGGACCCCCTTTTCAGACCAGGCAGTCCTCGATGACTGCATCTCTTGCTCCATCTGTGCTGCCTTCTTTCAGTTTTCCAGACAGACTGCGCGTGTATTCCCACTGCTGTCTGCTCCAACCTATGCGCAACCGCCTTCAGTCCAAAATACAAATCTTCTTCTACCAATGCTTAATTTCTTTCTCCTATAACTAGGACCACCAACAACACCAGTACTACTACTGCTACTTCAACCACTACTAATACTACCACCACTACAGCTTTTACTATTACTGCTGTTACTACTACTACTACTACTACTACTACTACTACTACTACTACTACTACTACTACTACTACTACTACTACCAACATCACCACTACTACTGCTGCTGCTACTATCACCACTACTATTATTACTACTCTATGCCGCGATCTTTCAGTTATCCAGGCAAACTGGGCGTATATTCCCACTGCTGTCCGCTCCAACCTATGCGCAGCCCCCTTCTGTCGAAAATACAAATCTTTTTCTACCAATGCTTAATTTTTTTCCCCTATAACCTGAACTTTGTCCGAATTTAGCTGCAGTAGCAGTCCAGGATTTATGCGTTATACTACATCCTGTCATTGCCCATAACAACACTCACCTCACGCCAAAATCAGTTCAGCTTCAAGCAGCATTCTCCCTCATCTGTCTGTGTAAGCTCGCCTGTTTGATTACTGTGTTGGAACGAAAACAACACTTGCGCCAAAGTTACATGTGCCGTACTGTCAAACAGGGCTGTAAATCTCCACAGACAGCTATGAAAGGGAGGTTATTAACACAAGACAAGTCGTCAGCTTTGCCACTGAAACACAACCAAACACAATGACACTTCTCTTGACAGTTCTGCTGATTGGCGTACTGCTGCAGATCACGCTGGTGGAACGGAAGAAGAAGGAGGATCAGTCGAAGGCGCAAGGGGATGTGCGTGAGAAGGAGAACGAGGGTGCAGTGACTCCAGCCTGCGGCGGTTGGTGGGGTGGCGGTGGCTGCCATCACCACCACCACCACCACCACCACCACCACCACCACCACTACCACCACCACCACCGCCACCACCACCACCACCACCACCACCACCGGTGTTGTTGGCTCACTACTGCCATCATCATGTCTGTGGCTGGTAAACACGCATAATCCGCAATTTCCTGCTAGCCACTAAGGAGATTGCGTCTTGCTTGTGCCTTGTCTACTTGAACTGCAGGTCGAAAAGCTGACTGCATCTGAGATGGCTGGTTTTGAACCGTGACGGAAGGAGAAGTAGGATCAGTCGATGGGGGAACAAGGGGAGGTGAGCGCGAAGGAGGACGAGGCTGCAGTGTCTCCAGTCTGCGGCGGTCGATGTGGTGGCTGTGGCTGTCATCACCATCATCACCACTCTTGTCACCGTCATAGGTGGGGGCCGTGGCTGGGATTGGGGCTGGTAAACACGTATAATCCGCCATGTCCTTCCAACCAATAAAGAGTTCAGAGCTTATTCGTGACTCGTCTACTTAAGACAAGGACAAAGCCTGTCAAGCCAGTGAACTGATTAATTTTCAACAGCAACTCATGTGGTTTTGTGGATCAGGATAAGAGCGACGCAGCGGCTCAGTCGACCGTCATTTTTTCGTTCCCATAGCAACAGTAACGGCTTCGGTTGTATTTGAGGCTGGTAGCCGCGAATAATTCACCGAGTTCGCTCTAGGAATCAAAAACATCTTTCTCTCCCTGTGACTTGCGTGCGCCAGAAATGTGTAGTGTAGTCGAAGCGACTGGTTTTTGCGACTGGAGCCCACAGAAGTGTATGACCGTAGGCAAATATGTGCTCACCAATCGAATCATTCTTTCGATATCTGTAGTCATTTGTCTGCTGCCTGCAAACAGCCATTAGTTGTATGTCACCAATGCACGATAAGTGATGATAATGATGATGGTACCGCGATTCCTACTGATTGCCGTGGTGTTACTCTTTCATAATCAGCAATATCTCCATAAAATCGTGCAAAATTAAGGAATAGCAGATTTTGTGACAAACCCCTGCTGTCATGCATTCTCTAGGTTATTACTTCAATCCGGTTTGCTTGCTTTCTGTAGTCAGAATACGAGGTTCTCATTCAGCGATAATTTAAATTTAATGAGCTTAGAAACTCTGACATAGTTTGGATTTGTTTGTGGACTTAAAAAATTAATAAAATACAGTCTTGGCGTGATAAAATCAAAGTATCTTGCATAGAAAAGCCTAACACATTTTGCAGGACTGAATTTTTGGCGCTTAAATGGCCTGTTCGGACAAAAAGGATAGGAAAATCAAGAGCACAGAGCTGTGGGATATTTCACTGCTTTGTCGATTGTTTGTCTAGTTTAACTTATTATATAAAGCCAACCAAAACTTTCGAGGCGCACAGTTTATTTGCGTATACAAAGTTTGACATTTCAGGTAGTCGTATTTTTCAGCCCATTTACGGCATTACAAGACATTGAAGTAAGATTTATATCGATAGTTTTGCTCTTGAGAGTCGGCTTGCAGATCGCCCTGTCGAAGGAGAGTACCAAGGAGGGGTCAAGAGAAGCAAAGTAGACAGATAGTTCAAATAGAACGTATAGGCAGGTCAGTGCGAAGGAGGACGTTTAAGGTCATCTGCAAAGAGCGCTATGTCCTTTTCAACCTCCCGTACTAAACGAGGAATAGGCGCGGCCCAAGAAATGACCCTTGTGAGACTTCACTTGCAACAGGCTCTCATACTGAGCAGTTGCCACCCGAAGCGCCTTTTTGTCCACGAATGTTTAAGAAATCTTAAATCGAGTCCAGTAGATTTCCTCCTATCCCAAAATCTCACAACCCTTGGATGATGCGCTTATGTGGAACGCAATCAAAAGCCCTGCTGAAGTCAAAGTAAATGACATCTATTAGGTGTTCTTCATCCACAGTCTTTGATCAAAAATTCGAGTGACGTAAGCAGGTTTGTGAGGCAGGACCTCTTTTCACAGAAGCATGTTGAACTGAGCTCATGTGACAGGGCAATGTCTCGAGCGATGTAATCAATTTTTTAATCATGCTCTCCATCGGCTTGCAGAAAATACATGTCAGATATTCCGGTATGTTGTTGGTGAGATATAACCCTTATCCCCCTCTATGGGTGGTTACGACGTTGCAGGCGAAAGCTGGGAAGACCTAGCAAGCATTAATTTGGTGAATCGACAGTGCAAGGGTCCTCCCTCGAGCAATCAATCTATGAATCCCAGTTGACGGCCGTTAAGCCGAACGAAGTTCCTCCCCGACTGTATCCCCTAAGATACATTAAACACGGTCGATTATATTTTCCACTCTGCCAGAAATTACAATACTCCATCCACAGTTAACGACGCGCTGCTAGTATATCGAATAGTCGGCAAAATCGCAAACAGACCAATTTGAAGTAGACTACATTTTTGTTGAAGTGTATCCCTCCACGTTGAAGACCTTGTTAAGATCAGCTGAGTTGTCCCCAGTGGTGTAACTTGTGATTGACTCGTTAGCAATTTGTCTTTGAGTCCAAATAAGTTGTCAGATGTTGGGCGAGGTCAGCCCCGGGTTTGTTTACTTGATTGCTCGTCTAGGCAGAGGTAACAAAACGAGTCCTGTTTGGTAAAGTAACTTATGTGCGCATGTAAATGAGTGTTCACGAATCGCACTGATCGACTGGGTATAAAAAGGAGAACAGATTGGGTGGCTGCATCGTCAAACCAAACAGGACATCAGAAGTGATCACAATGAAACCACTCCTAGCAATTCTGCTCCTCGGCCTGCTGCTGGTGCAGGTCTCCCTGGCGAAATCGAAGAAGGAGGAGGATGAGGATCTGTCAAAGTATGCGAGGGGGGATTTGAGTGCGAAGGAGGACGAGGGTGCTGTGTCTCCAGCCTGCGGCGGCGGTTGGTGGGGTGGCTGTGGCTGTCATCACCACCACGGATGCTGTTGGCGTCGCTGCTGCCACCATCACCACCACTGTTGCCACCACCATGGCTGGGGTTGGGGTTGGTAAACCCGCATAATATGCCATTTCCTAATGACCAATAAACAAATTGCCGCTTATATTTTGACTAGTCTTCTCGAGTACCTAAGCCGGGGACGAAGCCTTTGAAGACAGTGAACTGATTAATTTTGAACGGCAACTCATGTGGTCATGAGCACTCGGATAAGGAAAATGTTACGACCCACTCGACCGTATTTTTTCTATTCCCATAGCAACGTTAACGGCTGGTGTTGGGACTGGTAGACTCGCATAATTCCCTCAACTCTCATTAAGGATAAAAATATCTTCGACGAGGTTTGGTCTTACAGCCCCACTTAAATGATATCATATGGTAAGCTTTCTAAAAAGTTTTGCTGAATATGAATACGCCGACTCTACAAACATCAAATGTTGGCATCGTCCTAACCATTTTAATCCAGCGAGTGATTCCGCCACGAAGGGGGAGAGGAGTGCCTATAGGCCATCCTCGTTTACATCGGTTATCAGCTAACACGTTCTTCTCTCCATGTGGTTTGAGCCTTATTTGTGCTCCCTTCACTATCCCAATCCAGCGAGTGGCCAAGTAGACTTGCTAGTGGAACTGCTCTGACGATGTGGAACCCCGTCTGTTCCACTACCGCGGCCATGCACTGCGAATTACCACGTGGTACACTAAGTGGCCTTTCAGTTGTGATTGCACTTCACATATCATATTAATCCAGCGAGTAGCTATGTCGGGGGGGTGTACACTCCACCCTTACTCGCTTCCCTACGCATGCTTCGAGCTCTGCTTGCGCCCTCTTTCCCTTCCTAATCCAATTAGTAGCTAAATTAGGTATGCTAACCAAAGTTGTTTTAGAAAGCTAACCATATGGCATCTATCAAGTAGGACTGCAGAACCAAACATCGCCATTTCTTCCTCGGCCGAAAAATATGCATAGAATTGTGTAAAATAAAGCATCAACGGATTCATGTTCAAATCGTTGGTGCCGCCCTCTTTTTAAGAGAGGGAGAGAGAGGAGAGAGGAATGCGCTTTATTTTGAAATCATATGTTCAAAATTTTCAGCGAAAAGTTGGCTCCATTCACTATGGGCAGTAAATAAGTTAATAGATTATTCAAGAGTCAAAGTTTAACACAAAGAAGCGATTATTATGGGGATAGTTCAAGTATTAGCTTCTGTATTTCTGTCTCTTCGCGCGTAAGATAGCGCGCTAGGAATGGCAATGCAGAAGCACGATAAGCCGATGTGCGACAGGATATAAGACGGAAGTTGCGGCGCATCGGGCGGGAAGACTTGGCAGACATAAGATCGGAATGTAGGGGATGGGCAACGTCATCTAGAATTCGACCAGCAAATTGCTTGACCGCATTGAAGTGTCGTTGTAAGATTGTGTTAACTAAAAAAATATAAGACACGCCAGCAGCAGAAGAGAGCATGCCTGTTGTCATGATTGCTGCCCTCGGAAACCAGGGTTCTCATTAAGCAGTAATCTGAATTTAATGGCCAAGATATTTTGGCGGAATTCCGATTTGTTTGTGGGCTTAAACATTTGCTAAAATGAGGTAATGGCCGGAAAATACTGACGATCTCGCATAGGAAAACCGCGAGGGACCTAAGGGACTGCGAATTGAATGTATAGTATATGCGTTCGACCTTAATCCCAGTTGAACTGGCATGATCTGGTCATTAGTAAACGAGGGAAGATAGCAAATTGTGGGGTCCATCCAACGGTCATTCTTCATTTGCTACTGAGACTCATGACAGCTGGCGCATAAATCTTTGTGGTTTTGAAGGTTTACAATTCACAGAATATCTCCACGTTCATGCTTCATAACCGGGTTTCCGGCTGTTCACCGAAGAATTCCCTGAATGAGGTTGTCATTCCAAGAAAAGTTGATAGGGGGCAGACACTCACTAACAACTGCCATGATGGTGAGTTGACACGAGAGTCCCGAATGGTCGGCAATAAAAAGACTACCGATAGAAACGAACAGGCAAGTTCCAGAAACCAGTTCAAAGAAGAAGATGTGATCACTGGAACAAGAATTTTATTGGCCTGACATTTCGAATCCTAACTCAAACCCCATCATCAGAGACAGTCGCAGATAAGGGTAGTGGGGGCGCAAAGAGTGCAGTATTTATAGTACGCAGTAGCCGTGGCATTGCATGTGAACTATAATTAACAGCTCTCGTGATCATCCCTGGGGGCCATAATGTAGGAGATGATGGCTGGTCAGTCTGTGTCCGCAATTTCATCATCCGTGTTGGATGTTGACGTGAAGATTACACGGCAATTTGACCCGCTGTCAAAGCGAGATCAATACGACGTTGCTGGCAATGGAGAACTAAGGCGCAAAATCACCAATCCACCGACGCGTGGCGAGAGCGCAAGAAGCGACCCTGGTCATCGAGAAGCACACAAAGAGGGCGCTCCTCTCTGGCTTATCGTTCCACTAAAAGGCACTCCAACCTACGCACTGGCAAAGTGGCTGTTTCGACGTCTCAAGATTCCGACCTTCGATTCGAACACCACAATCAGCTCGTCAACACAATTGTAAGAGAAACTTAAAGGAGTAAGTCTCTTGCCAAGCGATGTCATGGTATTATTTGATGTCACGTCCCTTTTTACTTCTATTCCGCAGGACCTGGCAGTCGAGACCATCGAAATACTCCTACGAGACAAATACGATGTAACGGAGAATCACCTCGGACACATCCAAATCATCTACCTCCTGAAGTTCTGCATCAAAACGTTCTTTAAGTTCGACGGAACAATCCATGAGCAGGTGAAGGGCACGCCAATGGGTTCACCGATTTCGGGACTCATAGCCGAGGCGGTTCAACAACGGTTGGAGACGCTGATTTCCCGCCACCATAGACTGAAATTTTGGGCTCGGTATGTAGATGATAACTTCGACGTCATCGAACGAGAGCAGATGCTTACATTCAAAGAACGTCTCACGCCGTCTTCTTGGACATTCAATTTACGATGGAGGAGTAAGAGAACAACTAGCTGGCCTTTCTGGATGCCCCAGTTTTCTGCAAAGATTGCGGGGCCCTAAAAAGCAAAGTGTTCAGAAAGGTGACAAATACAGTGCGTGACCTATCTCATGAAATGTAGGCTGAAATTCTGAAATGCGTTTTCGATTAGGAAGGATTACTTGGTCGCGGTTGTAATACTGATTATCATAAGGCATGCTCTTATAACATTTTTGACTTGGCAGGATGTCGGCTTTAAAATGCACATTTTTTAAATCTCCTGTAGAAAGCCTGTTTGGTAAAAAATGACTACGTATGTAGCATGCGTTTTTCCCATTGATTTTCGATGGTCTTGGAAATTCAAATATATTTTATAGAAACCACAAACAAAAATGTGCTTTCTTTTAATCACTCAATATAGAATCACGTCTTCTTTACATTGTATACTTAAGAAAGGAGTATAATTAGGTTTTTAAAAAGTTTCCAATTATGAGACTTTTTAAGACCGCGATATGTCCATTCACATAGCATCGTACATGGCCGTTTACCACTGCTTCTCATGCAATGTACAACATGGTCCGCATCCATTGCAAAATTTTATGGACCCTGTATGATATCTCTTTACTGACTTAGAAAAATATGGGATTTTCTTTACTCGGAACGCATGCACCTTGTGGAGTGTAATCACTAAGCGCAAATGCAACAAATGATCAGGCTCCAAATTTTTCGGCAATTAGAAAACTTTTTTAAAACCTAATTATACTCTTTCCTTAAGTATCAAATGTAAAGAAGACGTTATTCTCTATTGATTGAGTAAAAGAATGCACATTTTTGTTTGTGGTTTCTATAAAATATATTTGAATTTCCAAGTCCACCGAAAATCAATGGGAAAAATGCATGCTAATTAAGTAGTCATTTTCTACCGAGCACGCTTTCTACAGGAGATTGAAAAGAAGTGCATTTTAAAGCCGACATCCTGCCAAGTCTAAAATGTTATAAGTGTATGCTTTATGATAATCAGTATCACAACCGCGACCAAGCAATCCTTCCTAATCGAAAACGCATTTCAGAATTTCAGCCTACATTTCATGAGATAGGTCACGCACTGTACGACGCAAGTACTGAATTTCAACAGTTACCACCCGATCGGTCACAAACGCTATTGCGTAAAGGCGCTATATAAGCGCGTTGAGACACACTGCGGTTAAATGGAAGAAACGGTTAGTGAATTACAATACCTTCGACGGGTACTGAGAGCCAATGGCAAGCGCTCAACTTTGTCAAAGTGTGTACGAGAATGGAACCAATGACCAAATTATACCGGCCCCAAATTTGGGCTGGCTCTTCCGTACACGAGAAATATCTCAGATGCCGTCAGTTATCTTCTTATTCCACATGGAGTTGGGGTTGCACGCAGGCCGGAAGCACCCAACAGGTGCCAAGACATGACGCCGAAGGACCCACTGCGGCAGCAGGAAACCTCTGGAGTCGTTCACGGGATCTGGTGCAATTTCGGATAGAACAACTACATCAGAGAAATTGGGAGATTACTCCGCACCTGCATGTTCCAGCACACAGCAGCGGTGAGGAGGAAAGACGCCAGCTCTCAGGTAGCGGCTCATTCCACGGAACTTGGCCGTATTTTCACGTTTCAAGAGGCTGAAATTCTCGCAAGAGCTGACAACCGCGTGAACCGCGAGCTGCTTGGGTCATTATTCTCAAGCCCGCAGTCCATCAACAAGCACAATGACCCCCCGGTACCATATTCAGTACTGAGGCATTCTCTGGGTAGGGGAATCAGTCACGTGGGGATGACGCAGGCGCTGTGCTCACCTGATGACAGCGGGCCAAATGGCCCAGTAATCATCACGTCAACATCCAACTCGGATGATGCAATCGGACGCGGACTGACGAGCCATCGTCGCCTTAATTACAACACCCAGCGGTGATCACGAGAACTGTTAGTTGTAGTACGTCTGTGGTCCCACAGATGACAACATTGCGGCAACTGACTACTCGAACGCGGAAGGAGGAGTTATTATCGCATTGATTACGACACCATGCGCTGATCGCGAGAGCCGTTAATTATAGCACGCATATGGTCCCACGTGCTATAAATACTGCCGTCTTTGTGTCTCCATTACCTTAATTTGCTGCCGTCTCTAATGATTGGGTCAAGTGGGGATCCGAAAAGTCGAGCCAATAAACTTCATGTTCCAATGATCGCATCCTCTTCTTCTGAGTACCACGATTCCCATGTCACAAATCAGCGGAGAGAGCTTGTGCTGGATAATCTCTGCTGATTTGAAAGAGCCTACAGGAGCTTTAACAAGCAGTTGTTGCAGGCCTATTGCGGCCGTCGGTGTGTACCGCTGAATTTCTTAGCCCTCCTCAGCGCGTGTGTGCGCCGTTGGTCTGTCTCACATTCGTTCGCCTATAGCCAGTTAGCTAAGGAGAAGCATTGAATGACTTCGAGCTCACATGAGCCTAGGTAGAAGCCTTGCGCTGTCCCCTCAGCCAATCGACAGGGAGGGGGGGGGCACGAGGTGTGCAGACAAGCTGCGTGACACAACGGCGGGAGCGGACTGGCAAAAGCTATACTCATGAAATGTCAACCGAAATTCCGAAATGCGCTTTCGTTTCGAAAAGATTAATTAAGTAAGGTTGCAAAACTAATCATCATGCAGCATAATGCTATGAAAACCAAGTTACCTCAGGATGCCAGCTTTCGAAAAAACTTCCTTCCGGCTGCATGCAGAAACTACACTTTGTAAAAAGCGACTACTTAAGTAGCATTCATTTTTCTCATTGATTTTCGATGCCTCTAAAAGTCCAATTATAGTTCATGGAAAGCATGCATAAAAATATTCATTATTTTGCTCATTCGGTAGATAATTATGTTTTCTTATAATTTTATGCTCAAAGGATGGACGTAATTCCGTTTTAAAAAGGTCCATAATTGTGGGACTTTTAAGTACCGTGAAATGGCTATTCATAAGTCGCCATAGCTCTGCATTTACCAATGTATCTTGTAAAGTTAACAATATGGATCAAATCCACTGCTTAATTGTATGAGCACTATGTGGTCCCCCTTTATTACCCTTGATAAATATGGAGCTTCCGTACGCGGAAAATATACGGCCTGTCGGTTGGAAACCCTAAATCCAAGTGTGACGATAGAGCGGCTTCAAAATTAGTCGGGAATCGGAGAAATTTTTGAAAACCGAATTATGTCCCTCCTTTGCGTAGAAAGTTAAAAGACGACGTACTTAGCTACCGAATAAACAAAAGAATGCATATTTCTATGCAAGTTGTCCATGAAATATAATTGGACTTTTAGGGGCATCGAAAATCGATGAGAAAAATTCCTGCAACATAAGTTATCATTTTTTACAGAGTGTAGTTTTTTCATGCGGTTGCAAGGAAGTTCATTCGAAAGTCGGCATTCTGAGGTAACTGAAATGTTATAGAATTACATTGCAGGCTGACTATTTCTACAATCCCTCTTAATTAATCTTTTCGAAACGAAAACGCGTTTCGGAATTTTGGTTGACATTTCATGAGTTAGCCCACGTACTGTAAATACACAACTGGACTCAGCGCCACGACAATCAAGTTCACACGAGAATACCGTCCATTGATACTTTATTGCCTAGGAGCTTCGGCCCTCAGAGATAGTCACGATAGCAATGGAAAAAAAAACACAAGAGCCAACACTGGCAGGAACATTGGCAGCCCCACTGACCTTGTCGGCTGTAACTGCTCAAGGTCGTACTTCCGAACCTTGACTATGTTGATTGCTGCGCAGACTCGAGCATTGTCATCGTGTCCAAGAAGTGACTAGCCAGCAGTTGGCGTTTTCCCTTCTTTTTGCATGCGTAACTGTTTCAACGTCTGTTTGGAATAACTACTCAAATCAGCGATGTTAATGACACATTTGTGATGGAAAAATGCCTTGTGACCACCGTCGGATAGAGCCATCATGGTATAACAGGGCAGGTCGCACGGGTGAGCCGAAAATAGAGTTATAACAGCTGTCTCTGTGTGCACCAACGTCGTGTTGACTATTCCAATCGTCAGTAAAATGATTCTCTCCGACCAACATGTGCTGTGCGTTGGAGAGACATCTTTAGCCGGACACAAATCGTCCATGGACTTCGCGTGCGAGAAAAGGGTGAACATACTTGTAAAGTTACCGCGTTAAGAGACTGCGGTGCACAACCTCCAGGCAGATGCGCAGGAACTAGTTATACAGACAGAAAAAGATTACCAACAAGTACAATGTATAATGCGATGGCCAACTTTGCCTTCTCAGTCGTTGTCCGTCCGTTCTAACTAACTAATGGGCTGTGAGTGGAGTTCTACAGGCACGCGCACGCTCAGTCTACTGAATTGATTAAAGTAGGTCATATTAATTACGTGAATGGGATTTAAGCCGGTTGCAGGGACCGCATGTCTCGAGATGCCCTCGTTGCGACGGAGGCATCCTACGGGCACTGTGAGTCGCCAATAGCCTCCTCTCAAGACAATGCAGTCGTTTGATTGCAATGCCAGACCAGTCGACTGACGCGTGACTAGTGAACAAGCTCTAAATTTGGTGACTGCTGGAATCTAGTGGCCGGTCCTGCTGACCAGTGCAGCAATGAGACCTCCTCGCTGGGACAGGGATTTTATTCGTATGATGCCTCAAATTCACTCTGGGGTCCCTTGTCAAAGACTTCAACAGAAAAAGAAGCGGACGTCTTGCGAATTTGGCCGTTATACGACGCTGCTATCCATCAACCACGTACCCACTGTGTCGAAAGGTCTGAAAGCGTGTCCTATGCCAGTATCAACAAACCGCGACCCTCACGGCCTGGAATGCGCTGGCAGTTCCCTGACATCTGGTTCCCTGCCGGTAGATGCGCTTGCGGTCTCATTGGGTATACATGTGGTGGGCATGGCTGCCCAGTCAGCATTCTCGTCCTTCTGACCCCTGCTGGATGTTGTTGTTGCTGCTGTTGGCGAAAAATCCTGGGCAACTGTATGTTGTGGACCCCGGTGTGTGGTGGCAGGTCTAGGTGCCCTCCCTCGCTTTCGGCCTTCTTGACTCTGTCTTGTCACCGGGACCAGGTGGAGGAGAGAGTGCGGTAGATGCTACGAAAGTCCACGGTCGCTACAAATTAATTCCCGCGCCCGCTGCACCTAACTGTGTAGCTCACGGTGGAGATCGTGGGAATCGACCTTTGAACTGTCACCCACCAAGTTTAAAACGCCCTCCGTTAAACACAAATGTTTGCATTTGCTTTTATACCCTCAACTTTTCCTGCAACCAAATCGAAAATTGCCTCAATTTCACCACTAGTGCGGTTTATTAGTATCGTAACTACTGCACTGGAAGCAATGCATGCTCGCAAGGCACCCGTGTGGGTGATTACTCCACCCAGGAAAATACTAGCACTGAGTAGGGAGGTGAGAAATCATTGCACTTACTGACATGCTGGGGACTGAAAAACCATGACTCAAGTGATCCTCACCCCTCTTGAGAATTAAACGCTAGTCGACCTCCACCCTCTAACTATACTAGATCCACTTGGCAACATTAAACCATCCTTGTTTCGACCACATAATATGACACCTGACTACAGCCCGTAGTCTGTTCACTACTCCACACTCCGAACGCACTGTTGATAGGTATAAACATTTACATAATATGAGGGTGATGTCGCGGAAGATAACATCCTTGAATCCACTAGAACGAGATTACTGACCTCACCTCTAACAGTCTCTGCTTGACAGGCAATACAATTTGCCGCAGACGGTCGAGAAGAAGAACAAGGCGGAGCTTAGCAGTACTGTCTTTTCTACTACGAAATCAGGCTGGGAGATGTCAGAGGCGATCGATAATGAAACTCACACAGCGTAAAATGAGGAATAACACCAAGAGTCCTCACGCAATCGTACTTATCGTCCATGAACATGAAGTGTGCGAAGGCGGGAGCACTCTTGATCTAATTGCAAATCAAAAAATGACGACGACAGATTGGGAATGTGACCCGAATGGCGCCTCTCCGAAACGGCAACCAGCTAATCGCGATACCAAGAGATCAATCATCGAATAGCGGAGCTTCAATGAAGTATGCTCTGCGTGGAAACTGGGATGCAGTAGGAGCCTCTTTTTGTCCGCATTTCGCTAAGGAGTTTTATACATGTAAGCAGCGTTATTATATTTAACTGTATGTGCTCCTCCAAAAAAGTTACCATTTCTCAAATTCACAGCCCGCTTATGGCAAAAATCGGCTTTCCCCAGCAGACAACAGGTTCGTGGATAGTCTTTGGTTGGTTTGGAATTACCAGTCGGCAAACACGAACTTGTATTTATTGTGGCCCTCTTGCCTTGTCTGTTGGCGCTGACACAAAGCGCAGTGTCTCACGAAGCGTATTGAGTCCATCAACACTAACTGGCAGCACTGAGCTCTATATTCGCAAGAGGCTCAGATGTGGCTCACATACTACTTTGTTCATGACGAAATAGACTCAAGCAGCATCTATCTCGTCCGCTTTTCTGACAGCAAGGGAGGTTCAAACTAATCTAACCTCCAAAAGCAGACCCTTGGCCTTACATACAAGGCCATTAAGATCGCAACAACCGGCAGCTGAAAAGAGTCCACGGTTGTCTATTGTGAGCAAACTACAGTGAGTGACCAATCTCATGAAAGGTAAGCCGAAATTCTGAAATGGGTTTTCGATTAGGAACAATTACTTGGGTGTGGTCGTAATATTGATGAACGTGCGAGAGAATCCTACAGTCTTTCGGACTTGCCGCGATGTCGGCCTTTAAATGCACTTCTTTACGTCCTCCTATAGAAACCACACTCGGTAGCAAAATTATCACTTAAGTCGTATGCATTTTTAACATTGATTTCGATGGTCTTATTAATACGAATATGCTTTTTAAAAAACACGAACCAACATATGGTTTCTTGCACTCGTTTGATAGAGAATCACGCCGTTATCAGATTTTATATTCTAAGAAATGTTATTTTTCGGTTTTAAGTAAGTTTCTAATTATGAGGCTTTTTAAGACCGTGCAACGTCCATTCATACAGCGTGGTGCCCGTCGTTTGCCAATGGTCCCCCTGAAATGCGTAACATAGTTCACATTCATTACAAAACTCATGAACCCTATAGGGTATCTTTTTAAAGACATAGCAGACTAGATGATTTTCCTCACGTGGATAGGATGCACCTTGCAGACCGAAATCGCTAGACGCCAGTGTTACAGCTGATCCGACTCAAAATTATTTGGGAATCGGGAAACGTTTTTTAAAATGTAAATATACCCTTTCTTCGAGTACAAAATATGAAAACAACGTGATTCTCTACCAATCGAGCAAAAGAAAGCACGTTTTTGTTGCATGTTTTCTCTAAAATACATTTAAATTGATTAGGCCAACGAAAATCGATGTGAAAAATGCATGCTAACTAAGTAATCGTTTTTTGCCGAGTATTGTTTCTATAGGAGGACGAAAATAAGGGTATTCAAAGGCCGACATCCTGGCGACTTCGAAATACTACAGGATTACGTCACATGTTAATCAGTATTACAATCCCCCATAAGAAATTCATTCATCGTACCTGGCAGGACTGATGACTGACTTCGCAAGCGGCTCAGATGTGACGTACATGCTACTGTGTTAGCGACGTAACGGACTTACGCAGGACCTTCCCCCCTCGCTTTTCTGGTAGCGGAGGAGATTCACAACTAGTTCAGCCTCAAAAAGCAGACCAGTGGACTTACATAAGTTCTGCCTCTCGGTCATGCGGCAATATTTAAATCTACGACGCCTAGTGAGTCTGCATAGCTGAGAAGTTTCCTTGGTTGCCTATTGTTAGGGAGCTAAGGGGGCTGAATCAGGAATTTTATCAGTCAGTCAGTCATTCAATTTATTTGAAGCACATACAGTAACGCCTTTGAACTCCCTATTTGTACATAAAAAATCAATAAACAAACAAAAATGTGAAGAAAATGCAGCATTAAGTGAATGCAGACATTGATTCGCATGTGTCACTAGTTTCATGCCTAAAAAGTCACATAGTCCGCTTGTTGCTGCAGCATATATCTGTCAAGTGGACATTTAAATGCCTCCACACATGTAGACATGACAATCGTCTCGGGCAGGTTATTCCACGGTTCCACGACACGATTGGAGAAGAAATATTTTCCCCTATTCAATCTACCATGGGGCACACGTAGCTTGAATGGATGTCCCCGGAGGTTAGTTGTAGTGGTGAGTTGGAAAAAGTCATCGCACCGAAGGGCACACTTCAAGCCACGAAACTACCTATAACTCAGAGGATACAGATTAATGTTAGTTAAGCGGATCTCGTATGGCAGTGCACTTGACCTCTTATTAATTTTTTTGCTCGCCTCTGCACTCTTTCGAGCAGATTGTAATCCTGATGCGTCCACGGCCTCCAGGTCTGAAATGAGAATTCGAGATGTGGCCTTACAAACGTGCCGAAGACTTCGGAGAAACAGTCTTCATCGAAAACTGCGAATGTCCGCTTGATGGCATATAGCATTGAAGTTGCGGAGTTGGTCGCCTTACAGCATTGTGAAGAAGGCTTTAGGCCGTCTGCAACCCAGACTCCGAGATCTTTCTGCGTTTCTGCTTCTCGGAGTGACATTCCGTTCAAACGGCATTCCCGCGTACTAGGGGTCTGATTTCCAAGTCGCATTTGTTCAAATTGTTATGACTATACAAGATCAGGTCAGGTCAACTGTAGGTGAGTATGAACCCGGTGACTGACGCGCAGTGAACATTCTGTCTAACGGCTACCATGTACAGTAATCTGAAGCAGTAGTTCGTCGTCCATCGTTACCAACTTTGGAAAATTGTATCGCACGGTGGGTGCTATGAGTGGTGGGCGACGCTTTAGCCATGCCTGTCTGGTAAACTTGAAATGAAAACAAGGAAGCTCATGCTATGCATGACTGTACGCACGGACAAGCGGGATCTCTCGGGCGTTGACCGTCAGCGTACACCGGGCAGGTGCGACATACAATCATGGCCTCCAGTTCTTCGATTGCATGCGGTCAAAGAGGTTGAGAAGACAAGTCAGAAGATGAAAATCAACACGTTTAATGACAGGAGTAAATAATGGGTCATGAGCGTTTAACAGCCTCGGCGCCGACATTGGCTGTGACCACGGCAACGGCGACGATGACGGTGACAACAGCGGCGGTGGCGGCGGCGGCGGCGGCCGCAGCTGCGGCTGCGATGGCAGCCACAACCACCGCGTTTGCCGCCGCAGGCCGGAGACAGTGCACCCTCGTCCTCCTTCGCACTCATCTCCCCTTGTGCTTTTCTCGGTAGATTCTCCTCCTCCTCCTCCCCCTCCTCCTCCGGTTCCGCCTCGGGAACTCTCTTCCCTAGGGCGACATGCACAAGGACTCCGAGCAACAAAATTGTAAAGAGGACTTTCATTGTGGAATGTTGAGGTGCCGGGCAATGACTGACGGCACAATTGCTAACCTCACCTCTACTTTATTGTCAGTCCTCAGGGCCAGCCTTAAAGTACTGCCAGGTCTTCGATCGTAAGTGAGAGGGGAACGGGGGCTTAAGTTCGTTACTTCTAACTAAGCAAACAGTAAAGTAAACAGAGCACCAACACACAACCGGGCCCAAAAGCCCATCAAGATGGCGTGGACTGAATAGAACACTCAGAATGTAAATACGTAAAGCCTCTAGTGATCTGCCTGCCTCTATAACTCTGCAGCGGATATATTCAAGAGCCTGCAAGTGTTGCTTGAATGGTTAGGTGCAGTCTGCTTGTGGCCGATGTTATGCTGTACACGGAGATGTCCGAAGACTCCAGCCCTAGCCCCCAGTGTATGCTGGCCGTAAGGGGAGGTTTTCATTACAGGATGTGCAAAAGTAGCATACGTGACACCTGATGTGTCCACTCAAACATTTGAGATTTGGAAACACGCTTCCAGAATGTGACGATGCGAATAAGCGTCCTCCAGACGGTCGACTGAGACCTCCCCAGTGCGATTGTCACGGCACCCGACTGAGCAGGGTAGTTAATAGTGATGTCCTGTCTGGAGAAACTTCACCAACCAGTGAATACCACACACGAGCTCAAATGGGGAAAAGCATGTACAGTAGGAGAGCTACCTCATTTTTTGCTCATTCGGTAGACAATTACGTCTTTTTCCAATTTTATACTCAAAGGATGAACATAATTCAGTTTTTAAAAAAGTTATAATTGGGGGACTCTTAAATACCGTGAAATGACCGCCCAAAAATCGTCATATCTCTGCATTTACCAATGTGGCCTGCAAATTTAACACTGTGGATCAAATCCACTGCTTAATTGTTTGAGTCCTATATGGTTTTCCTTTATCACCGTAAAGAAATACGTGGTTTTCCGTAGGCGGAAAATAGACAGCTTGTTGTTTTACAACCCTGAATCCAAGTGTGACGATAGAGCGGGTTCAAAATTAGTCGGGAATCGGATAAATTTTTGAAAACCAAATTATGTCCCTCCTTTGCGCATAAAGTTAAAAGAAGACGTAATTAGTTACCAAATAAGCAAAAGAATGAATATTTTTATGCATGTTGTCCACGAAATAGAATTGGACTTTTAGGGGCATCGAAAATCGATGAGAAAAATTCCTGCAACATAAGTAATTATTTTTTACAGGGTGTAATTCTTTGCATGCAGTCGTAAGGAAGTTCATTTGAAAGCCGGCACCCTGAGGTAAGTGAAATTTTATAGAATTTTGTTGCAGACTGACTAGTTTTGCACCCCTACTTTACTAATCTTTTCGAAACGAGAACGCATTTCGGAATTTTGGTTGACACTTCATGACTTAGCCCACCTACACTAAGCCAAGCAGAACCGATAAAGGATTTTCTTGCGTGCCTCTGCGAGGAATGGTGAAGGCAGAGGAGTCTGATTGGTGCTAGACCTCCCCATGCTCGGTGATATCTACACTAGAAATCTCCAAAGATTATTTGTGTGCCACAGATCAGCCAGATGAACACTAACATGTAGCTCAAACTGCTTGAGTTCTGTCTGTTAGGTTTCTAAATTAATGATGATTAATCTTCCAATCAAATGACGGGTCTTTTCATGGTTGATTATGAAACCATGGAACGCGAAATCCATTTTTAAGTAGGGGAATGTTGTTTGAATAAGATTTTCCCACCTACAGTATTGAAGTTCAGAGTAAAATGCGCAAGTTTGGGACAGCCAATACGATGGCAAACTGGCTGAATATAAGGTACCTTTGATATCTTTCTAAATTCGTAGACTGTTTCTTAATATAATCCCGTTGGAGCGGACTATGCATGAAAAAGGACGTTTCCCGAGGGGGGCTAAAGTGCACAACGCTCACGGTGCCCCGAAATCGCCATCACATTCCATGCGTTATATCACTTACAGTAGGTTTTATACCACTTACCTGAGCCGGAGTAAAGGAATTATATTTGCTCTCCAGAACAAACTAATGCGGCGCTTGACATCTTATGTACGTCGATAAGAGCGAAAAACAAATAGTTTAGACTGCTGACAGTTTGTACACGTGGGTGATCAACCTCTGAGGCACTAGCCGGAAAATTTAACTCGACAAACACCTCAGCTCCAATGACGGTATCAGTTGGCTGTCCCGCGATTGTGGTGGAGGGCGTGCTTTATACAAATATAGACTCTCGTGCAGTTATTAGCAGCTAGGCTGCAAACCAATTGTCAATATGTTCAAAATTTCATTAATTCATGTGCTTTGTATTTGTCTATTCTTTAATCATCGCGATCATTTTCATTGCTAAATGACAGCGTACGATAAGATTTTCGGTAGAAATTTATCTATTTTCTTTGTCCACTTGCTCTCCGTCGTGTGTCTTGTCCCACCCTTAAAACCCCCTCTACCATCATTCAACGTATGACACAGTCCATATGCTAACTTAAGTTAATCGGGGGTTCTACACTCTATCTATCAATGCACCGAAAATCGATGGCAAAAATTCATACTGAGTGGTTATTTTCGGATGAGGGTATTTTTTCAGACGGCTAAAAAGAAGCTCATCTGACAGCCGGTACATCGATATGACTGCAGAATCTTGGGATTCCGCTGCGCGGTTATTATTATTATCATTATTACCCTTTTTAAGTTATCTTTCCGAACTGAAATCACATTTCAAAATTGCATGTGATAACACGTCCACTGTATTTTCTTGGTCGCTGTTATAAGGATATGCAGTAGTTGGTCTTGTGCTAGAAAGAATAAGATGAAGAACTAAATACTATTTTGAAAATGGCTTTAAGTGGTTACTGCGGATATACGTTCAAGCGCAAACCTCACACGCCATTGGGCGGATAGATTTGCTCTGGCCACTTTACTCGAGGCCGGCATCTGACCAACTCTGAGGGGCGTACCTATCTCGCTGGCCAATCACTGATACACACTCGTGGTCAACGCGGCATGAACCCATGCCCGGACGGACTCACCCTCGACAGGCGACAGAGGCGAACGGGCGAGTTCCAGGAAGCAGTTCAGAATAAGAAGAAGATGCGATCACTAGGAGTGACATTTTGAATTTCACTTGAACCTGTCATTAGAGACAGTTGTAGAAAAAAGATAGAGAAGGCACAAAGATGCCAGTATTTATAACACATAACTGCAGAGGGACCACATGTGTACTATAATTAATGGCTCTCGCGGTCACCGCTTGTTGTCGTAATTAATGCGATAATATCGCGTGAGTTCACGTTCGAGTAGTCAGTTGTCGCAGTTTCGTTATTTGTGTTGGATGCTGGTGGGACGACTAATTTTCGATTTGGCCCGCTGTCGTTACATTGTTTCTCATTCGCCTTTCGCCACCTGACTGATTCTCCTACCTAGGAAGGTTTCATCACTGAATATTGCAACAGAAGGTCATTGTGTTTGTTGATGCATTGTTGGTCTGAGTACCATGACTCGGGGAGTTCGCTTATCACGCAGTTGTCACGTCTTGCGAGGATTTTGGCCTGTTGAAACTTGAAAATATGGCCGGGTCCTGTCGAATGAGCCGCTAGGTCAGTCCAATAAACTTCTTGTTGCAGAGATCTCTTCTTCTTCCCTCTCGATAGTCTGACCGTCTCCCGCTGGGACATCTACCACGTGACGCAGCAGTGACTTGCTCATTAAGCAGCTTCTTGGTGAAACAGTAGCGCATTCCGCACTCTTTCATCCTCAAACCATCCAAGCCCTGTGGCAAGACGGAGTCTGGACGACCGGAGGCATGAAATACACGCCTGTTTCGCGTAAAAAGCGCCGGGTTTTCTTAAAAACGGATTGGCTCAGATGTCACGCAAGTAGCAGAGACATAAAGGTCATATTTCTGAAAAAACCATTGCAGTCTAACTGTTCCTCCTGCAACAAACAAGTTAGCAAGTCGGCTGACTAACTTTGAAACCAAGATATTTAGCATGTCGCGATATTTTTAAAGGCGTATCAGACTTCTTATTGTGTGGAATGCGCTGAAGTAATGTGAGGACGTATTGTCAATTATTGATCTCACCCTGACTCACTTCCCTTTCCCATACAAGAGTCCACTGTCCAAGATAGTCAGCCACTTGACGTCGTTAGTGAACGCAGTGGCGGACGGGAGCCTGCTTCTAGGCGTGCTGCACTTCGCTGTGCGTCTGCGTGCGTGTGTGTGGGACGCTAAGGGGAGGATCCGTCTTAAACATCCACCTGCGGCCTTCCTCGTCTCCGGTCTTCTTGACTTTGTCTTGACACCGGACCCAGACGGGGGAGGAGGAGAGAGTGTAGGTAGATGCAGCGCAAGTCTACTGGCACTATAAACCCCTGCGTAAGTCACCGTCCCTGCTCCCATTGCTGCTGCAACTGTGGGGCACACGGTGGACATCATCGAAACCGATGGTCGAACTGTCAGTGTGTGTGTGTGTGCCCTCCAAACGGGCCACGTGTTAGATGCGCTGGACCAACACATCGGACTCTGGCAGGCGTTATCTGTGCGCAATAACAAATGCCAACATTTGCGGGGTGCGCTGGCGGACCCTATTGTCGGCATTCGTCGCTAAACTGGACCACTGCCGCCACTCCATTGTCTTGTGGTCAAAATCCTGGTCATTTGTGTGTGGACCAGGGGGTGCGGAGTAGAGCGCCAAGGCGAGGATCCGTCCGAGCCATCCACCTGCGGCCTCCCCCGTCTCCGGTATTCTTGACTCTGTCTTGACACCGGGTCCAGGCGGGGGAGGAGGAGAGAGTGTAGGTAGATGCTACGCAAGTCTACTGGCACTATAAACCCCTGCGTAAGTCACCGTCCCTGCTGCCACAATGTAGTCTGTGGGGCATACGGTGGACATCGTCGAAATCGACGGAAGAACTGTCGTGTGTGTGTGTGTGCGTGTGTGTGTGTGGCCCTCAAACGGGTCACGTGGTAGCGACGCTGGACCAACACGGGACCACATCGGATTCTGGCAGGCGTTATCTTGCGCAATAGCAAATGCCACCATCTAGGGTGTGGGCTGGCAGACCCTGTTGTCGGCAGTCGTCTCACAAACTGGGACCGCTGCCGCTCCCCGTCCTCGTTGTTTTGTCGGTCAAAATCCTGCTAATATGTTATGTGGACTAGGGGATGCGGAGTGGAACGCCAAGGTGCGGATCAGTGCAAACCATCCACCTGCGGCCTCCCTCGTCTCCGGTCTTCTTGACTCTGTCTTGACACCGGACCCAGACGGGGGAGGAGGAGAGAGTGTAGGTAGATGCAGCACAAATCTACTGGCATTATAAACCCCTGCGCAAGTCACCGTCCTTGCTCCTACCACCTGCTTTGTGGCATACGGTGGACATCGTTGGGTGCGACGTTCGAACTATTGTATGCGTGTGTGTGCGCGTGCGTGTGTGACATTTGTTGAGGGATGCGCTGACTCTGCGTGGCCCGAGTGTCCTACCACAAACTGCCCCCCCTTTGTTCCACCCCACTTCCAGCCTGGCCTGATGAGGGACACGCCATAGAGGCCCACATTCAAATACACACTGCCGGGCTCTTAGTGGCACACGGGGCCCTCCCACACCCTCCCCAGCCTTTTCCTTCTGCTCATCATCCTTACTGTGAGGAATAAATCTTCTCTTTAGGTGGTCCATTTTGATCGCCTTGGAATCTGAACTCGATAGAGAAATGCGATAATTATGTCCCGGAATTTGACTATTGAGACAGAAGTCTGCTGAACGCGATTTCAGTCTACCCGACTGCGTCCTTACAATGCTATTGCCAGTTGGTGACATTTAAAATTCTGGGCTGTTATTCGTGGAATTTCTCTGCATCTTCATGTTTCTTTAATATGCCGTCTGGTATATGGATAGACCACTTTGCAGACAAACGCGCGTCTCCTCCTGGTCAAGAATTAAGAAAGTAAGCAATTATTTGATCTTAAAGTACAGCGCACAATATGCGCATAGTATTCAAAACATCGCACCATAAAACAGAAACGTTTCAATTACACAGAAGCAAATGACGACCATGCCTCGAAGGCTTGTTAGGCATACTTAAGGAAGTAATAACAATGCTCCTTTATCACCATGCGAATCCTTCGTGCAGAACCAGGGAACCGGTACCCGCCTCGGCTGCTTACAATGCCCCAAAACATTCAGACACCGTGTTGGTCTAGGTACCAGTGACAGCGGAATTCACCCCAGTGTCAACTCACGAAAACTGCCACCAGCCCAATCAACTACATCCACATGACCAACGCCAAGAGCATTTGGTTCAATACCAACGGTCCCATCCTGTTCTTACAGCCACACATCGACCTGTTTGGGTGCTTAAGTATGCATCGCACTGTTGATGGCGTACCAAGGTCAGGACTGCCAATATGCACCCATTATGTATGCCACAGCTGTTCGGGGACATTGCACCATCTCATGGGCCTATTCACTTGCATTTGCCTTCATAAAACCTGCGGCAAAACACTGTAGACCTTACCCCCCACCATCAGACCGTCATTCACCAGTCTACACGCCATATACGAACCCGCCTCACAACATCCGACACAGGGACCAACCATGTACCACCCAAGATAGTGGGAGACATGCTCTTCTGCGCAACGTGGTCGTATGTGCGGCACTAATAGACATATTGCTGCAACTTTGTCCTCCACCGCATCAGTACTAGCGCCAGATGGCTTGGATGAACGACTGTTGCTTGGAAGAGGACTGAAAGAGACAGAGGGAATACCACCGACACCAGGGAACACGTTTCCACCGCACACCAGCGCATTCCTCCCCATAGTAAATTTGACGCACTACGATCTATTTGGATGGGTATGTCGGCCATCGTAGTCAGTACTGTGAGTTTATGCGATGTGACTGACTCGATGACTGGGAGGGGAGCTTGTGGTGTCCCTCCTTCAGGCGCCTGTCTCAACGCTGGGCCTCGCGCGAGTGTCTGCACATGCGTACCAGGGCTGTCTGGCATTGGCCACTCGGATCTCCAACTGGCCAATCAGATTCAAGGTCGAGTCGGACGTGTTCTGGCGTAAGACCAGGTGAGGCATTGCCAATAGAAGCGAAAAGACGAGTCCCAGGAAGCAGTCATGAAGAAGAAGAAGACTGGCGATCGTGGCTTCTTCTTCAAGGTGAGGCATTCCCTGACAGACACCGGGGATGCTACTCACCCGGAACCGGACACCGGCTGCCAACTCTCTAACTCCTCCAGGGAGGTCCGCTTTCTCTTTTCATTCGGGACCGGGCCCGAGCGTTGTGGTAGCCAGGGTCTCACTCGCGGCCTAGCCTATCTACGATAAGCTCAGTGGCTCCTTCTATGGATCCCTCACGAATGTGAGATCTGAGCCGCTCCCAGTTCTATGATATCTTGGTGCTCTGTGCGTAGAAACAAGGTCGTATGTGGCAGACATAGACAGGCTGTTTAGCCATAGTAACCACCGCGCCTGAGCTAACCTCCGAGTGTCTTGACAGTGGGACTTGGTGGTCGGGGAAGAGGGAGTGTGGCTGGTGCTACGCAGGTCTCCCATCGCTTTAAGGTAATTCTAGCACAAGTCACCGGTGCTACACCTACTCCGTGGGGCGCACTGTTAACGCTGTCGCTTTTGACGGTCAAACCCTCTCACATTTATAAGTGAGTAGTGTGGTCGCGCCTGCAGATTCATCACAGTTGGGCTGGTGAAACACTGTCAAGAATCCAGACTATGGCGGCTCGCCGCAATCTTATGCGTCGAGAGAGAGAGAGAGACTATTTTGGGGGTCGCCGTGCGTCAAACACAATCCCAGAAGAATGTTTGAATTTAGTTCCTGGCTTTCACTGTCCACCCAGAAATGCCAAAAACCAGTTTTAGTATTAGAGTCTACAATATTGAGGAACTGCAGAATTTCGTTCAAACTTATGAATTGCAAGACTGGGCGGTGTGTCTAATTCAACAGTAATTCTAGCCGTTAGCAGAAAGGCGTTGCGCTTGAGGGCGTCACAAGATATTCAGTCGCTTTTCCTTGGGGACAAATGCTGTCCTTTTCACACCTGTCCGCCTTCATTCTTGCAAACGCTTACTTTTTTCCTGAGGAAATCGCTAGCAAGAAAAATTATATCGAGAAAAAGCTGCTTTCTCAAAATGACTTCAATCTTACTGCTTTCTGTCGAATTTGCAATTAATAACACTATTTTTGTGCATTGTAAGGAATACCTGTTGGAGACGTTTATGGCGGAATATTTAAATAACAAGATAACATTTCATGCCCCCGCCCGTTTGCTAGGTATGTTTTTCCTCACTGGACCATACATAAATCGAAGTGCGGAAACTAACTTTGTAAAATAAAAATTGCTGAACAGGTGTTCGCAAGCTCACATGGGTGTACTTTGGATTGCAAGCGGAGGCACATGAAACGTCAGTTGAAGCCTTCAATTGGCATCTCACTGTAAAACAGTGAATTCGGTTAGTAAACACAGGGGCACACTGGTCGCTTGGTGACCATTAGGGGCAGATGACCGAGTAAGTAGTTAAATTTTTCTGAGAATAAATTTGGGACTTATTTAGTTCAGTTAAGGTCTTACGTCGCATCTCCTTCTCCGTACTTTAAAGTTGAAGGAGAATGCATCTTATTTGTGAACATGCCTTGATATAAGGCGAAGGCACGATCACTGGGACAGTAGGTTTATTTGCCTGAGCTTTCGAACTCGATCTAGAATTCATCATCAGAGACTACTCGAGTGCAGCAAATTGTGAACATTTATATCATTCATCCTTACGGGGGGAGGAGGAGTACGTCCGTGGCTAGTTAGGGTTTGTGCCGCCTGGTCCACGATGTTCCCCCGGCGTGGTGACGCCGTTTGTACTTCGCGACGGTGTGAGCTGCGCCAACCGGCTGCGCGGGCGGAGCGCGTGATAACAAGCAGGCAAATCGATGTTCACAATTAGATGCACTCGAGTAGTCTCTGATGATGAACTCTAGTTCGAGTTCGAAAGCCCAGGCAAATAAACCTACTGTCCCAGTGATCGTGCCTTCGCCTTCTTTTAAACAAGAACCTGGGATGCGCATATTCTGTTCCATTCATGCCATGATATGTTTGCGGGCAACTAACCCTTTTAAAACCACATTCTCTGTCCACTTTTCTTGGGCAGAAGAAATGAAAGCTGAAGAGTGAGCCTCCCCTCCCAAAAAAATTTCAACCCCAGAATGCGTACGCCTTAGGAGTAATATATGCACATTTGTCTAGAGAAGAATCCTCCATGCTATCTCCCCAAATATGCTCGACCTCAACTTCACGTTTCTGCTAGAGAGCAAACAAATGAAAACTATTGCACTGTTGGTCCCCAAAGTGGTTGATAATTGCAAGTCACGACCGCCAATTGTGCGTCTGGGTTTTATGCTGTCTAGTGGATACAACATTGATCAGACTGTACGACAGTTAGCAAAGTTTAATAACGACAAAACCTTCCCTTGCGCAGTCATCTCTCCTCTCCCATTTTTTTACTTTCGGATTTAGAAGACACGCTTTGTCACGGATTCCAGCATCGTTTAACTCACATCCTTACGGAAACCTCCCTTTATGGGGGCGAGGAATTTCGCTGTCGGAAATGGTGATGGCATTAGAGATAGGCGTGTGTGTGATGGTGATGAACGTGACGACGTTGCTTATTGGGAGTGGTGGCGATATTGGATTTGGCGTTTTGTGTTTTAAATAGTTTAATAGTTGTAATAGTGTGTTTTTAATAGTAATGATGATGGCGGCGGCGGTGCTGCTAGCTGTCGTGATCCTTTTTAATCCATAAATGGCAAAATGTCTCCTATTCTCCTTATCACAACTGTCAGGTTGAAGCAACATTTCCCCGAAATGAATTTTAAGCAAGCTTGGACAGCATAATTTATTGGAAACAGGGAATTTCGTGAGGGCTTATCAACTGCAGCCCGTCGTTGCATAACGCAAATAACAAGTGAGAAAGATACAGGAGTTTGAACTTCGGCAGACAAAAAATAAATGTAAAACTGCACGTACACTAATCTATAAAATGGTAACTTCAAAACGCAACATTGATTTTTTCTCTGTCGAAGTTCAAACTTCTGTACCTTTCTTCCTTGTTATTTGTGTTATGCAACGACAGGCTGCAGCTGATAGGCCGTCGCGAAATTTACTGGTTCCAATAAATTCTGCTGTCCATGCTTGCTTTAAATTGCTAGATTATTAGAGTTGCTTCCTGTCTAAACTATTCACTCAACCCCTCCTGCCTGACATCCGGAGTCCGACAAACAGAGTCCTAGTTAAGCAGACCCCTGGCTTTAAGGGTCAAGGAAAATCCTGTCTTAAATGTCCAAAGTTTTTGATACTGAAAACTTGATAAAATTAAGTGATGGCTGCATAAACCTGCGCATTTTCTGACAGTCCACTGTAGTAGAAATTCAGAAAACGTCATCGACATCTTTTGCGCAGTCTCTTAGCTATGAAAAAATGACGAGATTTCTAAAACCGGATTTCTTCTTTTGCCGTCTTCATTTGGTAGAACAACTTGTCAGTGATCGGGAATTGCGGACTTTTTACTTCCCACAGAATTTCCTTTTTAATTTCCTCAGAAATAAATCGCCAATTTGGAGTAACTCGGGTTGTTTGAGGCTTGTAGGCTTTGACTGAAACTTGATATGAATATTTGGTCTGACGTTTATCAGCTGCAGCGGAATAACCGCGCAATATTTACAAATTGTCAACAGGAAGCCGCAAGTATACAAGTACGTAACTATTTACCATACTTGGGAGCAGAAGTACTAGCTAAAAGTACAGACACATGTTTCGCCGCCATGTTGCCGCTGCATGACACGGCTACGGTTCATCAAAGGGCCCCCCAATAGTCCCCATGTGCATTCTCCTGGATACTCCGGGGCCTTAATTTCAAATTGCTGTTTCTACCATAAGGCACACGGGCGACGCTGGGGGACCCACTGATCAGCCAAATCCCTCGCAGCCGTGACAAGCAACGACAGCATGTCAGCAAAACACGTGTCTGTACTTGTGTTCTTAAGTATGGTATATCACACAATATAAGTGAACCTCGAATGAGATGAGGCAATTTCATGAAGGTGGACAGATCACTTTCACCACTTTTTTGTTCAGCCTGTGCTTTACACTATGTCCACCTCAGACAGCCGTCATGATCACGACCACGGTTGAGGTTAGGGATGGAACCAGTGAATGTGTATAATCGCTCATTTGCATTTTCCAATCAAGAGAGTTTCTACTTCAGCCATAATCTGTCTTCTCGTTCACTGAATTTGCAGGATAGATCTATGAAGTCGTGAAACTGCCCTGGCTTTTGACTGATACGTCAGTACGACGGTCGAAAATTCCCCTTGTGTTCAGAAATGTTCACATATCTATGTGCTGAATACAATGAGGCCATGATTTCCCGAAGTCATCCGCGTTGCAGCCAATCCCGGAATTGTGGGCTTCATGTCGCCCAGAATTAGTCAGCGAGATTAGGGCTAGTTCAAATAGAATTTCCACCAGCAAAGAACATTGCAGTGCTGGAGGAGAGTCAGATCAAATTCGAAAGCACTTTCTTGCGGAGTCGTAGAAAACTTCGGCAGCGGTAGAAAGTCTGCTGACTGAGCCTACTCAAAATTTTTGAAAATGTTGAATAACGGACAGGAGAGAATTGATCGCATGAGGAAAGGAGATTAATGGACGTCCCCAAGGCGTGTGCCAACTGCTTCTGCTTTTCAAGTTTCTATTTCAAACAACAGGCAGCACAAGGTGAAGTTGCGATGTCCGACGATATTAAAGTGGCAGTCACGAGAATCCAAACGTTGCGCGGTTTCTCTGGAGAGAGAAATCCTCCCGAGGCGATCGACAAAAATTGAGTCAGTTACTGCCTGACATTACCACGGTTGAGTCAAAGCCGTGAAGAAGAATTGCAGGAGATTGTTAATATCGCATAGTGCTTAATTGAACCTGACGTTCCAGACTATCTTCATAGTTTCATGACTGTCTCTCAGACATTTTAACTGATTTGGACCTTTTGAAAGGGCTGTTGCGACCAGGTCTTATGACCAGCCTGGCATCATTGTTCCGGCCAGATTTCACTTAAACAACCGCAGTGGGGAGGGTGCAGAGGAGCCACCAGAAAACAACCAAAAGAGACTCAGCTACCCTTCTTTAAGAGGATGAAACATAACGCGAGCAGTTGTCCAGCCCACCAATGCCCACAGTTATGAAGACGTAAGACTTCAAACCTGGAGTGTGTGTGGAAGAACCACATACTCGTCGATGGATAAAATTCTCGTGTCTGAATAGGGGCTAAATTTTGCTGAGAAATGACAAGAATTGTGGGGCAGACGACCTAGGTGGAGGTGGGTTTTCCACTAAACACCCTCTTGATTTTGTTGGACCGTAGTGGGCAGATGAACTAGCGGCGTCGATGGAGCAGGGGACCGCGAAAAGTACCTATTCATGGGACGTGAGGTGACGGTTAATGTACAGGGGACGACGGTTGGGAGTCAAACAGGTGAAGGACAATTGTCATCCCCTATTGCAGGGAAACATCGAGAGGAACATTACACGGCTCCTTGTGGCAAGCGGGCTCTTGGTCTCTGTGTTGCCTTATTTGGGAGGGTGCTTGAGGTGCGCGTTAACCGCGATGGCTCCAGCCCCCAAAATAACATATGTGTGTTTATGATGCGATGGGCTAGACATATTTTGACCTCCCCCTTGGTCCGACACAGCATGTCCAGACTTTGATGTGCGGCAATGGCAAGTTTCCCAGACCAAAGCAACGCATTCGAGAGAATGACCTTTACTACCTGTCCGTAAACAATAGGCTGAATTGCAAGCCGAGGCCACCAAGGAGGCTGAATCAGTCTGAAGACCTGTCTGAAGCGACCGACCGACATGATGAAGACAGGCGGAGGCTAAGCGCATCGGCGCCGCGAAAGCAAAACAAGAATTACGAAAATCTCAACTGCGTCCACCTCGCAACATCAACACCCAACCGTCTCTAACGTTTCCACAGTGTCAGCGAACATTTCGGGCGCCAACTGGACTTGTTCGACACCTTTAGACTAAGTGCAGCACTCGGAATGCACCAACCATCGTCTCTCCGCCCACGTCTCCCTCGCCTCCTATGCCATCAACTAATTCTGACTGCCCTCCAGAACCGCCACTGCCATCCATCACCCTCCTCCTTCTCCTCCCCCTTTTCCTTCCCCACTACCTCAAAGTCTGCCGTTGTGGCGTCTGCCATGCACATCAACATTACACACAATCCTGACACCCCAACAAACACAAACATCACCACCGTTGACACCATTGCTGAGGACCTGGTCTATGCCTGTCCTCATGGTGACTGCCCCCTCACCTCACACGTCAACCTGGTCAGCCCCTTGCCAATCCATCGCACAGAGACTGGCGAGCCGGTGCCTGGAGCACCAACCTGCATTCGCCGCACTTACCTCCACTGCCTACACTGCCTTCGCACATTCATGCACCGCATGGACCTATTCAACCACATGCACATATAGGAAATCGGAATTGGCCGCAATCTCGACACACCTAACACATCGAACACACCTACCATGCCCGCCCTCACTCCGCCGCCCTGCGCGCCCACCGCCACCAACTCTATCACACCCACCACGCTCAGCCCTACTCACATCCCATCGTCCAGCCAGTCCACCACCACC